AGTTCACAAACCGCTGCCGGATGGCGCTACAACTTTCGTCGAGACGTAAACTGTCTTTTATACTTAATGCTATTAAGTCTCTTCCCTTTATGCGATATTTACAATATAATTTTAAAATAATGAATACGTTTTCTTTAGTTTTACCTATGCATCATTTATTTCCAGTACTTAGTAAAGTTACATGAACCCTACTACAAGGTACAGTATTAGAGTTATGGCAGTTTAGAATATTTGGTGTGTTAAGGAAAAAAATACTTTTTTTCCTCGGACCAAATATATTTATTTCTTTAAGTTTACATAGACAAGTAACTATATAATATCCTCTTCTTTTTCCATGTACTGAGCACGTCAGACATCATACAGAATGACAATTTGGAAAACAGAAATGAAAATAATGCCGTGTGGGTATTAGAGTGACTAGCGGACATCTATTAGGGACCTTTATATGACCGGCTCGGTGGGCACAGCCGCGGCGCGCCGGGCGGAAGGTGAATAAAAACCTGGATATTTCTCATATTTATGTCCGTGCACTCGAAAATATTCCCCGAGTATGGTATACACGTGTAGGGAGATATAGGCCGTAAAGGTGTGCGCGGTAAGGGGCGTTATCGCGCGCAGGTGTAGGGAGCGTGGGAGCCGCCACCTGGCGCGCCCCCTCGGCCTCTTCGCTGCCCTCCGCCCTCTCTGGCTCGTTAATGATGATGTGCTCAGCCAGCAGACTATTTCACTTCTGAATACATCTTTCTCACTTTTGATCCTTCGTCTCTCTCACTCTCGGTCGCCGCCCTCGCTCCGTCCCTTTTCCGCCGCGCTCGCCCGGTCTCATCCGCCTAGTCAATTCGGCAAACGCGTATCTACTTTGTGTCGGAAATGTAATGGAACAAATGCGGCTGGAATTAACGTCGGAACGAATGTCGGAACACGGGGTCGTTCTCTCATCGGATATTTTCCACGCGATGATTTTGATGCGCATCTACAGAGCGAAAACGTTTGTGGTCAAATATTTATCACGACACTGTGTGGATATTGTCTACCTTTTTACTTGAAATATGTTCGTTTATTTGTAAGATTTATTATACCTTTAAATCCAATTAAATATATACAATCAAACTGTTTTTTGGTAGTGAATTAACAACCAAATCGCGCATTCATCGCACCCAGTAAGCTATTTACTTGTATTAGAGGTTAACTTACACGTCAATATTTTCTGATACCATTACCTTATCGTCATGTTTGCGGTTAATGCTGCAAAAGCTACGAGTCATGCTTACTGACTGATATATTAATAACGCCATAAGACTTTTCTACCTACTGTTTTCAACGCCAACTGTAGTATGTATAAAAAGGTTTTTTCTATAACTTATAAGGAGGGCAAGGACACATAAAATTACGTCTCAACAAAATCTTTCGTAGTTTTTGCTCTACATTCATTTATTTTGCATTTCTTCGTTTTCAATAATATTTGTAACACTTTGTTTACGTTCATGATATCCGTCGTAGCTCTTTGTCTACACGAACGCTTTTTCGTAGCACTTCATCTACGATTACAAAATCTTCAGTATTCAATCAATTCAAATCACGTTCAATTTAGGAATTTTGAAAAAACCTTTGAATATTTTGTAGAACTATGTTAAGTGTAATAAATGATAATGCTATACGAAGTACGAAAATGAAAAATGATATACTTTTTCGTACATTTATGGCTTTTTGAAACTGAATATTAGGAAGGGAAAAATGGAAATGTCATTATTATATTCCGTATTTCGGTAAATTCGGTTTTGCACCTTTATACATCTTCATATTCTATTAACTTGGTGTGTTAGGTAACAACGTCTTGCGCTCGCTCGTCAGTCAATAAACCTTTTGACCATTCACCAATTCGGCTTCGTGAAGCTTTCGCCGGGCAGGCGGTAGTGGCGGCGGCGGCGGCCGGGATTATTGGGTCATTAATCACAACCCACATAGCTCGCCTCCGACCTGCTCGCTTGCTTTACCACAAGGGATGACTATTAACATATCGAGAATTTTTTTTTTATTATGAAGAATTACCATACGTTCAGTTGTCTACGGGATAACTTAAGAACATACTCCGTCAGTATCTAAGTACATGCTTTGACATCCCAACAAAAAAACTTGATTTTTAAAAATAGTGCATTAAGTTATATAACGCAGTATAAACATGTACATTTGGTACTCCAAAAACAGCATAATAGTTGGTTTAGAGTTGCACCACTACGAACAATCACTGACTTTGATCAAACGTGTGACTGGTCGAGTAATTTGTAGATTCATTTCGATAACCTTTACAACAATTAAGTATTACTTTTAATAATTCTCTCGTCGATATTTCAGCGAACATCACTATAATATCGACCGCAGAGCTCAATTTACTCGGGCAGCAAGATCGTATGTACTCTCCGACCCAACTCCCACCTCCCAAGTCGCTGGTGTGGGCACATTACAACACAAACGATTCGCCAACACCCCGTCTGTCTGAGACACCATAGCAAGCTAATACTTAAGAAAATAACAACAACGTAGACAGTGTTGTTAGGCCTCTGGTGAAGTTATAGGTCAATTTTCGTGATGATCGTCCTAAAAGCTAACAACAAACTTATATTAGAAGTCATTTAATTCATAGTTTTTTTTAAATAATTAACGTTAAAAGCTCTAACCTATAAGTGCTAACATATTGCTTTGTTTCTTTGAAATACAAAAAGAAAAATATTAAATAGGCGCACTTAAGTGTTACGTAGCTTTTTTTCACCCCTTAAGGGCATTATTAACTAAAAGATAGAAATTGAAAAGTAAAGTTTTGTTTGCTTTCAATTTGTTATAGCGAAGGGTTTCCTGGTGATGATGTTTGAAGTTAAATCTCCCTCCTAAACGCTTCAAATGTGATTCTACGAGCGCCTTTTTACAACGGCTTTAGCTGAGACTTAAACGTGCGAGTCTACGTTTCCGTGATCAATTTATCAAAAAGATGCACGCATTTAAAATGTTTGATCTTTTCATTTAAAGTGAAATAGTATTCACATTGGTAAATGTTTATTTGAACCCATCAACTATTATTATTCTTAACAACATACTACGAAAAGTGGAAATTTAAAAATCTATTTTATTGCCAATCTTCTTGACCGACTTCCCAAAAGAAGGAGGTACTCAAGTCGTCTGTATGTTTTTTTTTAAATATGGTATTCCGTGAAGTATTTCACGCTGTGGTTTTTTAATTTTAATGTAATTTACGTTGCCATACATCATTTATAAACAAAAACTTAATTTTGTTCTAATATAATTAAAATCTTGTCCATTAAATTCGCATTCGTAACTAACCCCTTGGCTTAGATGACCCTTAGTAAAATAGAATATTCAAAATTAAACGTTAACTCGATACTGTTAAAGGTTGAACTCGTATGTGATTAAGTTCAAAAGGGAGGCGATGAAGCCGAGAAAAAAGCACGTGTTCTATTTGGGATTACACGCGCCCCATAAACAAAAGGTTAACATTATAGCTTCCGATACATGTATAGCATCTACGACGCAATTTATCAATGTTTTATTGTCTTCTTTTATAAGAAAATAATATCGATACTAAAATAGGTAAACAACGACTAATTGAGAAGGGTGTAAATGAGGTCCTCTTTTAATTTGCAAGCACCAAAAGTACTTAAATAAAAAGAGAAGAACCTTAATTTACTTAATTAGAAAACAAATATAAATCTTACTCCCTACTTCTTACTAATTTTACTAATATCATAAATGCGAAAGTTTGTAGCCTAAACGGCTGAATGGATTTCGATGAAATTTGGCGTAGATGTAGAGGATAGTCCGGATTAACATATAGGCTACTCAATTTTGGTCTTTTTAATTACACGCGGACGGGGTCGCGGACGAAAGCTAGTAGTAACTAAATAAAATCAATACCCTACACATCGTATATTATACTAACATTAACCTTACTTTAGTTAAAGATAGCAATTATAAAATTAATTTGAAATAAGTAGAAATTGAAAAAAATTAAACAAATGTAGATACTAAGAGGAACTATAAGTATTTGTTAGTAAGGTTGCAGCAGACTTTTAGATATAACTATGACAGCAAGCTATGTTTCCAAAGACACTAAACGCCCCGCAAGCCCCGAGCGGTGTAGATTTAAGCCGTCCAGCGTCCAGCGGCACTATTCAGCCGGTTTAAGCCTCGACAGGGCGCGGGAACGCAGCGTATGCGCCGACATGTGCGGGCACAATGGCCGCATTCTCATGGACTCAGCCGCGGTAAGCTGATTGCGTGACGTCATTACAGAAACAACCCGGTATACACACTGGGGAATTCGCAAAATTATCGTTATTTCATTTTAAAATAAGTTTTATGTTTCAGCTTAAGTTTTGTGCTTCGTTAGTGAAAAAGAGTTATATTTGCAAAATTGTTGAGGAACTATAAATTACAAAGTTCAGTTAGATGAAATGATAAAACGATTTCTACTACTACTATCGTACCAAAAATATGGCAGTCTTATGTAGACTGTAGGATTTTTTAAATCGGTAATCTTTATCTTACTACAATCCCTCGGACTATACGCGTTCGTTCTTACATAGGCTTGACTATCACCAAACGTAGTGTAAAAAAAGATAAGTAACTATACTTAAAAAGCGCATTGTTAACATTGTTAAGTCATAATCAAGCATCGATAACAATAAACATTAGCGCAGTGTGTGCACCGCCTAGGTCGTAATGCCGCCTATGGGTGAATGCGATCTCGGCTTACGGGGATCTGCAGCAAATAATCGGTTCACGACTCCATAATCCAGCGTGTAAAACATTGCTGGCGTTACTTTAAAACGACTTTTAAAAATGCAATTTCGCTTTCTATTTGACTAAAAAAATGCTGTTAAAAAGCCAAATACTAAATAAAAAATACTATACTTAATATTTAATACATTGCTTATTTATTATTACAAGAATTTATAGACAGTCTTCTTGAAGGTTTTTCTTTCCGTCAGCCGTCCAGCACGAGCGCGGTCCTCGTAAACCGAAGCTGCACTCCGGTGGGCTGGGCGCGCTGGCGCCTCCGCTCGCGCACTCGCATGCCCACAAGCCGCACGCGCTCAAGCTGTCGCCGCCCTCCCCATACGCACCGATGCCGCAGCCCTTTAACTTCCAAGTAATATATAGACAGAACATTTATTTACTGTTATTATAGAGCAAAGAAGGCTCAGGAAGGAACAGCTCTTACTACCAACAAAATAATAATTGTTGCGCGATCTTTAAGATGTGCGGTTACCTTTCCTTGATGCTAAGATGTTATCTATCCTATCATTCTGATTATAATATATTAATGATTAAAATTATAATCATAGTTCAGTCTAAGCGGCATGAGCGAGCCGGCACCGCTGAGCGCTGCGTCGTCTGCGGAGTCAAGCGGGGCGGGCGGAGGCGGGGGCGCGGGCGCCGCCAGCCCGCTGCCGCTGCTCGCCGAGCCATTCCTTGCGCCACCACCCGGCTTGTTGCACATGCTCATGTCATCGGATAAATGCCAAGTAAGTTAGACTTAAGTTATAACTTACGACTCCGTCCGCGTGGAAATAAAAGTGAGAAACAGTCTATGGGTCTCACTGATAACTTTTTAATGGTGCAAGAATTTTTGAAATCGGCCAAGTAGTTCTTGAGTTATTTTTATACATACAAACATACAAATCCTTTCTATTTATAATATTAGTATAGATAGCTTCAAAGAGGCAAATTAAACTAGCCTGTTAATTAACTGATTTGTGCGGGGAAGAGTCTCAAAGATCAATTATTCATTGGAGGCAAAGTTTTGAGCTTAGTGTGACGTTACAAATCATCGAACTGTCAAAAATGTCTTCAATGACACATTTGTTTAAGAAGTGGATGAAGTTGTGAACGAATAATAAGACGATAACGGAAATCAATTTCATATTTGTGGTTTTCCAATAAGGAACTAATGTGGAGCGCGAAGCAGTTGCAACTACAAGGAGACCCCACACTACTGCGGCCGCCGCCCAGTCCGTTCGGGGCACCACTTGCGCCCACGTGGGAGCTTTTACAAGTAATTTATTCTCTATTTAGTAAAAAAATAACTATTGTAATTTAATCTAAACATTTGTTTCTAAGAAAATCCGTTCCAATTTTAATTTTTATGAGGATAAGTACTAATATTCTAGCTTCTCTATAACAATTTCACTTAACATGTATAAAAGTAATCTCAACATGCAATATTTGTATGTGACATAAGTAAGGGGTGTGTACTTACTGCTAGGTGGCTTTTTGGCCTAAGGGCGGCGCGGGCTCGCGATTGGGTGGCTTGAGGGTGACTTTTCGCCTTTACTTGACTTACCCCGCCCCTCGGCTC